TGGGTTCGGTCGCATTGTGATTAGCCCTCTGACAACTCGGTTAGCACAATGCATGGGGAGTGGCTGCAGGATTGCACAGGAAGATCCTCAGTTCCTGCAGACTTGCTTCCGGTGGTGGTGCTTTAAGTCGGATGACAGTTTCGCTCGAGTATCTCATAGACTAGGAAGACAGAGGGTGAGCAGGAAGTAATGAAATTGAAAGTATGAGCTGATTGCTCCAAACAACCTTCAGCGGACCATCGTGATTGGGGGTAATAGTCAACCGCCGACAGACAAAGAGGAGCTTCATGGGCATGATATCCACGTAAAAAATTGATCAAACAAACAAGAACCTCCATTCTTCCAGCAGCAATGGGGGCTGTCACCAGATTTAGGTATTTTGGTCTACTAAATATGTGTCAACGAGTGACCCAATCCAGAAAGCATAGTTAGTAATCATGATCTACACTTCCTGTGTTGGCCAGTACGACCCAATTGAAAATGGGGACAAGATGAGTTGGTAGCACATTCCTTTGAAAGAGTTCAATCACGACACTCGATAGTGTGTTCCATTGGTCTTAGGGATCCTGGACAAAGGCACTGATGCAGCGCTGTCTGAAGACAGGCACAAACCATGAGCATCGCAACGAACTTCAGTTACATCCCGCGTCGGCAGTGCCGTACAGTGACAAGGATCGCCTCCTTTATCGAATACAGAGGGATGGAGAAGCGAGATGTTGACTGTAACGACAGAACTACGATAAATTGAATTACTTCGTACCAAATGTATATAAACAATATTAATTTGAGGTATAAACCTAGAAGATACGCATGGTCTGGACAGAAAACCGTTGGGGCAGAAGAATTGGTAAGATAACCCTATAACCGTGATTTTAAAGGGTGGAATAATGTGAAAGACAGAACACACGGCAAGATTTGCGGGCATGCGGTCGGCAGGTGAAAACAGATAGTCGCAATAGTAATGTTAATAGCTGACTGGAGAAAGCGCGACTTAGAGTGGAAATGCATGCAAATGAATGCACTAAAGCGTGTTAGTAGTTCGGAAGCTGGAAAGAGGTGGGAATAGGAGCACTGAATCCTCAAGATGAAATAATCCATCTGGTGCGGCAATCAAAGATTTTTTAGACTTTACACTGGTGTTGATGCTTTTCTTATGCCTTTTCCATCTGCTCCTATTACATGCTTCCAGAGTGTCGTTGCTAACCTTTCCTACTACTAACCGGGACATGATTGATGGCGGTTGCAATACCCAGTGGAGTCCCAACATCTGCAGTTATATCCCCAAAGCAGTAATTGGGCTAACACCATCAACAACGCTTTATCACGTTGCGCACTCTAAATCCCTTGCAACGTTCAATGTCCGTACCATAAAACATATGGGTTAACAGGCTGCACTTGCGAGTACAATGGATACCGTGGGGGTATTAGAGCATGGGATTAGCGCAGTTATCGAAGAAACTGTATCCAGTTGGCTGCATGCCCACAGAGATAAAGACACAGCAATCAACAGTGAAGATGCAGTAAGTCATTGGCTCCTGAACAAATTCCTCGCTCGTTGATTGGATAAACGTTAACAACTATTTGCGCGCAACCCTTCTGATAACGCCAATTCACTTAGCTTGGCAACTTTATTAGCAGAAACGGTGTATAATTACTGAAGCAAGCTCGCGCGCTGCGAAAGCTGTCTGCCCGAATCCGCAACATAGTTGGTGACTGCTACTGAAGAAAGCATGTATGCGGATACAAAAGTGAGGATACATGTTCTTCGTTAGAGTGAGATTTGATCCCTACGGTCTGAGAATCCGAGCGAAATTCTAGTTGGTGAGAACTGTTATCGGATTATCCCTACCGGCGTCCGATGGCAGTAATGTGCCGCAACGACCATGTCAGCAGGCGAGAGCTAGGCGGAAATAATCAAATTAAGTATATAGAACAGTAAACAAGAGTAAGCAGGTTAGGTTGAATTCTATAAATGCTCTGTGTAGAAGAATTTCGAATGCCCTATTTTGTGATACCTTAGTTCGCTAAATGATCCTCTGGGTGTTATTCCAATTTTTTTCCATGGTTCCAACCAATCTTTGTTTTCTCTGGCTCTCCATGCAGATTATGTGTTCCGATGTTAATTGCGTCTTTAGCTGCACTTTGAGAATGGGGATGACGAACATTCAATCGTGCATACATCGAGCAACATTTCCAAGTGTATTATCGCTTCACACGGTAATGCTCAATGTCATCATTGCTCAGTAATGTTTCAATTTTGTGACGTTTGAAGGCTTATGTACAAACTATGTGCTCAAGATGCCTCGCATATGACCTCACATATTGCAATGTTGATGTGAGTGTACGTGATGCACGTGGAAACAATTTGGTTCGCGCGACCTGTTGTGTTTAAATACAACAAAAAAGCTTTATGCGCCCAGATGGATGCATTTTCAGCATTTTACACTATCCACCACAAATGTGATATAAACAACATCAGTAAAGATAAGGATTTTCAATGTTATAAAAGTATAGGTAAAGAGTGCACAGATGTCACTTAAGTAAAAAGTCCCGAATCCTTGAGCAACGACCGCACATTTATTGACCGAATTATAATATTCTTCTTCCAGTTAATACGGCTGACATTTGTTAAAACGTTTCTTGATAGCTCCTTTCAACTGGATAAAGGCAGCAAACCGCGAGTTATGTCCGATGTCTCGGATATTTTTCCAAGGAATCGGTGGCGTGGAGTGACTTCAATGACCTTGAAATTGTCCAGCCAAAGAAGTCGTCAAAATATTTACATAAAATTGATACGTTTGCAGTAGATAGCGCAAAAGACGATGTTATGGGGGAGAGAGGCAACAGCCAATTTTAAGGCCCCGCCATCACACTTGTGATGTACAGATTCATAAATGCCCACGGCTCAGGGCACTTTCAGTTTCATTACTGGTCCTGTATAAGCCTGTTTTTTAAGTCACAGCGTTTTGAGGGGAATTTATTCCACGTGGGAATTTGAAGTCATACTTGTTGGCTACTTTGGAATGTTGTTGCTGTCCCTGATACGCCTGTGACGAATGCATAGATGGTCAAGGTATTGTAGCTTTGTTGTCATTAATTGTTTGCAAATAGTACCGTATTCTAGAGTCGGCTTTGTTGTTGTTGAGTCCTGTGGAAATGAGTTCGCTCAAGGTTACCAAGCGATTTGTTACTTACATTAGGTATGTACGATCACTTGAAGCAAGGAGGGGAAATGTTAACTTGGCAGCAAGAAATGAAGTTACTGAAGTCTGAATCGCCTTCAACACTAGGGTTCACGCGACCGGCCTTGTTATGGGCTCGAGAATTAACAGAACATAGTTCGCAGCCGGTGCCAGTAGCACGACTGCTGTTTCCTAGTAGTCGGAGTAACGGTCTAGCTTGTATCTGATACTGTGTTATTTGCGGGGTAATGGCTGATTATGATTCGAGGCAGTGAAGACCGCAGCGATACTGTCTTATCTTCGCACGATAGCCATCTATTGTGACCGGGTGCTGTTGAACACTAGTTTAGGATATCTAACTTGTATGCTAGGATACCCCCCAACCTCACACTAATTCGCCCCATAAATTGGTAGTGGAGCACCAGTCCAAGTCACTGTGTTGAGACAACGAAGATGCCTGCAACGTTGAGACACGTTGTGTGCACCTCCGGAGAAGACGGACAGGCACGGATGTCCAGAAAAGTAGCACGTAAGACCACGGTTTGATACAGGTGGCATTTTGCTAGAATTGTAATCGCATGTGATCAACCGAAAGAAAATGCTTGCGTACAGTTATGTATTGTCATTTTATGGATAGACAGTTGAAAGAAGTAACTAGACGTTGCCAACACTATAAAGGTGCCAAAAGGTACGGAGCTACATACACGGCCAATATCCTCAATATCGCCATGCGGATAGTTTCGTCGACACCTTCAAGCAAGATATCCTCAAAGTGAAAGGGGATGGGAGTATAGATGAAGTGACCAACGTATTGCTGTTCTTGCAGCAGTCCGTATCAAACTCAGAGGGACCAAAGACAGTGTCCCTAACAGAAGAAATGATGAACAAGTGGGTCCGAATACCATTCGATGCCCTACGGCAAGTTCCAGAATCCTCAAAAGTGAAGTGTAACGAGCATTAGATGGGCGATACGGAGCAATGCAACGCCCGTTTAAGGCGGAGAGTCAGTATTTGCACGTGACTACTGGAAAAAGCACACAGCATGGACTCTAGATAGGATTTGATGAGAACGTGAGAACGTCAACTATGGTGTTTGCCTTGCATCGAAAGTGCTGATAATGTGCTCAGTCGGGTACATAAAGCCTATTCTGACTTGACTTTAGTTGACTTATCACACAAAAAGGGTTACTTTCAATGCTGTGCCAGCCGGAAACGTCAAAAACAGTTGAGACACCTATCGATTTTCTTGTTAATCACTTATCCAAGATCGACAATGGGGTTGCGGTCAGCTAAACGATGCAGGTGACAGCCCAGAACCACTCCCGACCGACAGACGGAAGACACCGTCCTTGAGCCTGCAAGTCAAACTAAGTCCTCCAACTCACACAACAGGCACGGTGCCAAAAAGGATGTCCGGGTCGTTTCAAGTACATTCAAATCCAACAAGTGACGCGTACTTATCATCTAATTGACCAGACGTAATCTAACTTTGAATTCTGACAGGTAAGCTAGCTGTTTTAGTAAGTGAGCATTTCTAGGTTGGCCCTTGTAGCACATTTCTTGTATCTGTTTCAGTAGCTGGCCGTGCAGCACGCTTCTTCGTCAAGTTGTGGATTACGGACTTTTGCTGGAATTAGGAGCTTGCATGGAACGAGATTAGTTCGATCAGTATCGTACAGAAAAACACTTATTTAACAGAATTAAACGGAGTTTTAACAACACAGTAGCTACTGAAACGATAGGGTTTGGGAGAGCTGTGACAAGGAAAAGCACCAAATCTGGTTAGCAACGGAAAGATGATAGTAGGTTCTAACTCACCCAGATTGAGTATCTCGGCTATGGGTCGGTACGTCAGTAACGAAGAGTCGCGATAGGGCTCGGCAAAAAACGTAACTATTAAGGTTTGGGCGGAAAGCTAGAAAGAAGAAAGCGAAAGGATGATTACCAGCGTATCCTAAGTCAGAGAGGCTGTTATGATCCATGCTCAAGTCTCTGTATTATGATGCGCAACCACCGAACAGCCCAAACAGTGGTGTTCCTTTGATCTCATTTCAAAAATTCAATGCTGGTAAAATTATGTAGGTTCCAGTGGGACATTATGCAAAGCAGTTTGCGGATTTACTTGAAGACTGACACTCAGATAAGTGCTATGCACAGCAGATGCCACCTCAACTGATGACGAAATGAGCAAATGCTACGTCCTACTGCGGCAGATGAACCTCATTTCCTATTTATGTGACACAACGATTCTGTTGAAATCATACGGATTTCTATGTAACCCTGTAAAGTATTCAGTTTTAGCCTCTATACCGTTTTAGCTCACGTGCGCATGGCGAGATGTAGACAAGACGTTAACCTGCATCTACTAACAGATGACGCGCTATGACTTATTACGGCACGACAATCAAGGCGAGTCGCATGGCCACCTGTACAGTACCCTTCATGTAACCTGACATATCTTTGAATTTATTTAGATGTGCGTCTGCCCAAATAATCTGATTAAAAAGGAACAAACACCACAAAGACCGAGGACACGTCTCATGGCATCACGCAACTGTGTTTGCGCACACATAGAACACAAATTTGTCGATCTCGCACAGGATTAAGCTACTTCACGGATGATCTGCAGCGAAAGCCTATTCCCATACTTGGAATTAAAGACCTCCATCAACTGCACGTCCCATCTGGAATATAGTAGGCGCCGGATGTGCAACACTCTGAGGATAAGTATGCGCTTTGATTACTGTGCATATAGGTTTTTGCGCAAACTCGTAACAGAAGCGACGTCATTTACTTATCAGCTCATATATTTGTGCACGACTACTTCTTGCACTAATTTTTCAGATTTCGTTCTAAAACTTCCGTTTGACCACGCGCTCAAAATGTAAACAACCGCAACAAATGTCAGCAAACAAAATCCCCGACTGATATAGTGAGTCTGCACCTAGAAAACATGCAACCCATCTGTTCCCTAAGGTGACTAAATGGTACATGTGAAGCGAGGTTTCCGCAGCTTTCCTGAGATAACCGAAGAGAAGAAAACAAAAGCACAGCTAAAATTCGTGAATACCCACTGGCGTACAACAACAGAAAACATAGAAATAAGCAACAATGCCTGACTTCCGGGACCGTTGGATTCAAAGAACCATGCAAGAGAGGACCAGAATCCCCCAGTGGACAGAGACAGTTTTACTGGAAATGTTACGGGTAAGGAGTGCACAAAATGCTGCTCCATAGCCTTGAAGATGATGAGATGGCAAACCGCATCGTCAGAAAGTGAGTATGTGTTATTACTTATTTAGCGACACCCCCTAGGTGAAAGAAAACACAAACGACTGAACGGTAGTGTTGTTCGCTCTGATGTGAAAATGGCATGCGTTCAACCACCCTTAAGCATAAGCTTATGGGGGCTTCAGCGGCTATCCGACAAGATGGCTTCAGACAACAAAGCTAATCAACCAGGCAAATAAAATGTCCCCGTGGAGAGTTTCGGTGTGGCTCTTTCACATCCCGGCACACCACGACAGACGGTTTCGTCCAGGTTTGAACTTCCTAGCTGCTGCGGCAAATACTACTCGCGGAGCTCAATGGTCTGGTGATCATTCCGATAACCGCCAAGTACTATGTGCCGAGTTCCACTCTCAGCTCAGCTATCTCTAGCTGATAAGTCCAAACCAGAACGATACCGTCGATCGTGGATTGCAGGGATGGAAGAGGGCCACACCAAAACCCTCCACTTCGATGACGGTCCCAGTGATTTTATTAGCAGAGGTTGACTTCAAAGTCAACCGAGGCCACAATTGAGATTGCGTGTGGCAATCAAAGACACACAGCGAGTGCTCCAAAAGCCGAAATCAAAATGTACCCGTGTTAGATGGTTGCCTGGCTAGTGAGTGCAGGACGAGTAGAGAATAGGAGGGGATAGGCAATTATCAGATTACAGTGGAAGAGATCGTTAGAGGTTTTGACAATTCGGTCATCGTCCACTCACAGCAAGTGGCGTAAGAAGCAAAAAATTTGACAGATGCATCCACCAGTAAGAGTTATAACAAAACATAAACCAACTAACATTTGCCCAAAGTTGTGGGGGGTGGGGAATTAGGAGTGAATTAGACCACTACGGTGATCGTTTCGTGTTTTTCGGGGGCAAGAATGGCACATAAGTGGTAAAGAGTTATACAAGGAAAGCTGAAAAAGTGGCGAGTGTGAGAGAGAGAGAGTGAAGCTCCAGGCTATCCGGGCGAAGGCGTGCAATAAATGGACACTTAGGTATTGGAAACTGTGCACACCAAAGGAGAACAAGTAGCGGCCAAGTAAAACATCGCAAGCCATAACAAAAAGCAAGATGAAAACTCTTTGTATAATGGAGCAAACAACATGAACTCACCCAAATCTTCATCTTTGATACTTTGCATGTTGACAGGAAGGCGGTTAAGGATCGTGTGCTTCAGATAATCCTTGATGCTATTGGTATAGCTGGAAAGCATAAGAGAATCCAGCGTACCCCAAAAACATGGTGACAAAAGCAAACCAAATGGCTCCCGCAACCGAACACGCTTCGGAAACGGTGCAAACCGACAGTTATTTGTGCGCGAGTGGAAAGGCACAGGAAAGTCTACTTACGACTTGGCAAACAAGAATTCTTCTGCGGTAAGGTGGGGTGAATCGTTGTCAGGTCGGGCACGCTCCTCTGCTAGAATATGCTCCACAAACTGTTCAATCTGATGACAAACAGAAAACGGTGGCGTACACGTTCCATCAATGGAAATTGGAAGTGTTTGGTGGTATTTGCGAAAACCAGTACGAAGCATTTAAGCGGAGAAGTACAACCTTAAAGAACGAATGACGGAGTAGGAAAACGCGAAAGTAGGATGGTTCATATTGATGTGCCAGTAATGTTGGCTGAATGTAATCCAAGCACTACGCATAGGTTCCTGTTCGTGCCAAATCCGGAGATAGACAAGATCGAGGAAGAGAATTACGAACCAGAATAAGAGTGATGAGGGTTCACTCGAACTTAATCCGTCAAATCCAACGTAACTGACCTTAAAGCATAAGGTGACGCGAATACAACTATGAGACTTAACAAGCTCAGTTCAGTTCAGTTGATCAACTATGATCTGAGCACCGAAGTGCGGTGGATCCCGTTGCCACGACTCACACGGTAAGAATAGTGGGGTTAGGTGCAAATAGAATATAAAGAAAATGAAAGTAGGAGTGAAATGCGCTAGACTAATCAGAATGGAACGAAAATTAACAACCAGATGAAATAAACCGAACGCAGGAACGCCACTGACTTCGTGACTGTGTCATGTCTGACAAGGTATCCAAACACTGGTGTGGACCATCCCAATGCCCGCATCCACGAAGACGGCATGCACCAGCCTGACCAAGTATTTCAGTGAATTTCTTCAAGGTTCTATGCCATATCATGAACTGGCCACCTAGAGGTTTCGCCCAACTTGGTGCAGCCACAGCGTATAATGCACGCCAAGGAATGCTGTCAACGGGTATACAGAGAACAAGGCCAAGTCAACGTAAGCGATTAAGATTCAACAAACTATCGAGTGAGGCACCCGACAGCTTCTTGCCAAACACCAACTGGTGGACCTCAGCATTGCTCACCCGATGTGCACTTTAGACGTGTGAAATACTCCACAAGTACCGGTGGTGAAACGCAGTCAAGCGTTTACTATCTTCGCAGAGAACTTGCCTGGTCTCTGGTCCATACAATAAAACCGGCCTTGCCGCACCGTGACGCACCCTACCTTTTACTCATAGGTTGACATCCCGCCGTCGTAATAGATGACTGAGTCTCTGGAAAAGCCAAACGGGCCTTGCTGAAATGCGAAGTAATCTTTTCAGTGAGGTGACCACCAGAAGTGACACAGCCACCAAAGTAAGTGAAGCGATTCACCACTTCCAATGGAAGTTCGGAAACAGCTAATAACATAAGTGTGTCGGGCCCAGTCCTGCAGAAGTACTTTGCACTTTGAAGGTGCAAAGTACATGCTGAACCGTGCAGCGCTACGCAAAAGTCTGTGACATTCAGCAAATAAACTTTCAGTGAAGAAAATGAAACTGTTAAGGACCTTAGGAAATCAGAGTGCGTTGAAAACGTTCGGGCTGAAGCATCGGTAATCACAAGCGGGATAGACGGATGGGTGCTGAGTTCCAGGTAGTGAAATATTGTGGGTAGATTAGCGTCCGCGTGTAACCGAACCAGAATTGGAGAAACAGGGTAATTAAGACGTACGGGTCAACCTATATGGAAGGCTAGATTATCAAGCTGCGCAACGCACACTTTTGTAGTGCCGTGGTATACTATGTTAAGAAAATACACTGCCGAGGTATACACTACAACCTTGTAAGGAGAACTTAGGGAAGACTGAGAAGATTCAATCGCTGAAAAGTCACAGGTCATCCAAATGAGCTATTCTTCGCGTATTCATGGACTCTATAGTGAAGAAACATTAGTGATAATCGGAAAACCCTACTTACTTGTAGATTCATGACATGCACATGCGAGGAAAAGCATGAGAAGGCTGTTTTAACCTTTCGGGACTCGTCAGTAATGGGCCTCTGTCCGCTCCATCAGGATCCGATGCAAGACCACTAGAGTCTTGCACCGCCAACCGGTAGCTTATGACACTAGGTCATAGAGGAGGACGGCGCACCGTCATGAATTACAAGCCAACTGCGATGTAGCACAACCCATCCCCAATTGCCACGCAAGCTACGAAGATTACAGAGGACAGTATTGGCCCCAAGGGTCACGGGTACAGATGTTTCTTAGTCCTTTAAAGTCAATTTTTCCTACTCTACTTATTTATTCCCCCCTGCATTCATGGATGGCTATAGTCATTTCGGACCATTTAGCTACTGCGGGTGGTCTACCTTTTACCAAACACTAACACCGCAACTTTGTACACACCAAAGGTGGATGAGTTTCTGGTCGATAAGTATGGATGAAGTAGTGTTATGTGAATAGGAAAAACTGCATCTTGTCGCAGATTCCCGAATAGAAATGTTCAAAAGGACTCTGAAATGATCAAGCTACTAGATGACAGGTTAAACCCAGTGTGAAATTATTTGGTCAACTGCATGACTGAACATGGGTAGTGTCCACTTAAAAGGGATAGGGGATAGTGCAATGTTAGATGACTAGTTCGTGCAATGTATTACAACAAGTCAGTCAAAACCTGCCAACACCGGGCTTAGCAGAGGCGCATGTCGAAATTCGATAGGAATATGAACAAGCAGCTGTCTTTAGAGCGGTCGCTGTTATTGCACTCAATCGAAGGTTGTACCAACCAAGTACGAGATCCCATTGCCGGAGGTGACAGGTAATTGTGCTTAGGATATAGCTGATGCAGACGACGGACGACTGTCTACCGAAGTGTCACAAGCGAACATACAAATTCATCGGGACTAATCTGGTTCATGATTGTCACTTGTTAGTGCCAACCAAAATAAGGGTAAAAAGTACTAATGGTACTGTGATTGTGTAGCGATGTTCAGGCCGGCAGGCGACGATCACGCGCATCGGAGTAGCTGTTTGTCATAGTGCAGTATTGAAGGAAGGTTAAATAGTGCCGAAATCGGAGGCGGAGCTTGGGGTTTCTGTTGCAACGTAAGAAAGATCATCAGATAACTGCAGATAGCAGCCCGTAGGCACCGAAAATGTCCACGCAAACCAGCTGCCTGGATGCGTGCAAGTTGTAGACTTCGGACCAAACAAAGACTACGCTGACCAGAAAGATAAGGTGAAACTGCATAAGGAAAGCGGAATTCGTCATTGGATGTGACTTGTAATTGTTACGTAGCTAGAGTCTATATGGAGTGTTAAACTGAAGCAATAGAGTAAGAATATACGCTACATGAGGTGCCCCAGGCAAATCCATGGCCAAATCAAACATGAGTCATAGTGAACTAGTTGCCAAGCTTCTCTATACAGGGTTGGCACCATTACGGGAGTGGGAAGATGGTGGTTAAACACATGAAAAGCAATGCCATGTGGACGTCTCCTTTGAAATGCAATCAAAACAATATATCAGTACTTAATGAGATGTTATTTGGCATTCTGGATAAACGGAACCGACGTGGGGCCAGGGGACAAGCAACAAATCAAGTATCCCCACGCCAGCTGCCTATCATTGCTAGAGCCGAATGGACAATACGCAGTTGACGCAACCTAGCATGAACAGAGGTAAAAGTGGCCCCAGACAGAGCTGTCGACTAGATCGACAGCATATCACAGTGACGGTGAACAAACGCCGGATGCCAGTGAGCACAAAAGAGTGGGAGTAGTTTGCAGTGCTCCACCCACACACTCGAATTCAGTTCAAACCCGAAGAAATAAGGCTGGGAGAATTGTAAATGGGAGTCACGGTTGAATTGGATCCGGGGAAAACATCTACGTGAATTTCGGGAGAAAAAGGTGTAGTGGATTGTTGTATGAGCGTCAAATGACTTCGCAAACCACGTCCCGCACTCTTTCATAGGCACGAAGTATGTGGGGTATCAAACGCAAACAAGGCGGTGGTTAGATCACCGGAGGTGGTTTCCAGTACTTCAGCACCAATGCTGATTAGCGGCAATAGTGAAGATTGCACCTCCGGTGAGGGCTGAAAGAGACAAACAGTTTTGCTTGTGTTGATGGTGAGCCCGAATTTGGCCGCTGTCGAAACCAGAGCACTAGTTATATGCTGTAACACATTCGCACCGTGTGCAAACAACGCACATTCGTCAGCAAACAGCAACATACGAATAGTTGTCTCACAGATTAGGGTTCGCGCACCGAAACAACGGATGTTCACCAACCTACCATCAATACGGTGCTCCATATGAAGACCGTAAGCACAAGATGCATCAAACGCAGACGAGATCATAGCAGGAGCTAAGACACAGCCTTACTTCACAACAGAGACAACTGCAAAGTAATCCGAGGTCTGTGCACTCAGCCGCACCTTCGTCCGCATACCACTACGCAGACATACGGTAAAGCACTAGACAGAGGTTTTACTCCTACGAAACGCACAAACGGGGAATTCTCGCTATTCAGTGAGGGGCTGAAAACGGCGTTTTTGTTCATAAGAGTCAGTGGTTAAGACCGTTGGGCCCCGGCGGACGCCAGCAGCCAAGATAACTAGGTAACTACCCGTGATATAGCGTGGTTCACTCTACAATGACTTGAACGGTGCTGTCGTCCACAAACGGTACATCAGAAATGTGTGAATCTGTTAAGTAGGCAATTCCCAACATTACGTAAAGTGTCGGCAGCTCCGCCAGCAGAAATATACGTAAGCACCACCAAAAAACAGCGAATACGCTCAGTGAGTCATGGTACTAGCAGCAGAGCTACTTGGTGGGCTAGGTGTAAAAATTCGCTTCCGCAAACGGATCACTCAAGCTCCGGAACAGTGCGGGGACAAGCTCATTCGAAAGAAGGCAACCAACCTTGAAGATGCGGGTGCGCATGTAATCCGCTAGGATGAATCGGAGCCTTTCTGCCTGGAAAGTATGAAGGATAAGAAGATAAATACATTGTGCAAAAGACGCAATAAAGCAACTGAGTAAACGAGCGGACAAGTGTGAATAGTGAGATATCAAAGTGGTGGCAGCGGGTGGTTAGGTGAGACTTAGGCAGCCAGAATGATAGTATTTATAAACTCAGTGTTGTTTCCGGTACTGCTGATGAGATCTACCGACTGAAAGGTCGAGAAAAAAGTATTTCTTCTAACATTTCTCATGTGCGAAAGCATTTAAATAGCCTTCAAAATGTGATCAGTAATATATCGCACTAATTTTCCTCCATGATTATAGACATCCTCTAGCTTTTGTTTCAATAGGCATTCGCTGGATTTACGTTTCATATCATCAGTCGTAATATTTAAAATTTGGAGCATATATACTTGATAGGTAACATGCAACTATACGTACACACAACCATCACGTAAGCGTCCATTCATGCACCAGAAGTATCCCTAATTAATATCTGCATATAATGCAATGGAACACAACAACGTTCTAACACGGTGAACTATATCGTAGAAAGCAAATCCATTAAACAAGTAGATCATCTGTTGCAAAAAAGGAAAGACTATAAGCTGACATAAACAAAGGCAAAAGAAAGGCGCCAGTACGTAGTACGGACGGTTCGCTGCCGCGCAACCACTAGAGGTCGCACGGGGGCTAAGGATACTGCAAGGGTCGCCCTGCTCCTATACAGACTCGAACCTGCGCCGTCAGATCACAAGACAGGCTCTTTAGGTTTACGTAAAGAGACCTATTTCATTGTCAGGTAATACATACATTTTAATTTCTGTGCGGCTTATTCATCCAACTCCTCCAAAGACAAACATATCGAGGAACCCCGGTTGGGTAAGCGGTTAACAGTCGCAAACAGATACGACATTTCTCAGCGTTAGCAGTGAAGCGCAGAGCGTCCACCATACTGGCGTAAACACAGCTCGTGCATACCAGCGTGTATGACGGGTTTGGAAACAAAGAGGAGAATAAGAGTGAATGGTCGCAGGAACAAGTAAGCCGATACCCAGGGAACAAGATGTGCGTTAACGTCTATTGATGGCCACAAAAGCTGAGCTAGCATAAAGATTCCGAGAAAGTATCAATACATCCAAATGTGGTGTTCACTGCAGTCCCACATGATGCCCTAAGGATTGCTGAACAAAGCACATCCACAGTATGCGCAGAAATTGAACTAATAAATGACCGTCTTCGGAGTGTCGTGTAACTGAAGGCGTATCTCAGTTGCTTTGCCCCATGCTGAGGCTGATGTTGCGATCATGATGCATCTGCACCGTAGTTGGGCTAAAACCAACTTACATTTAAACTAGGACTTTTTGAGCTGAATAAATTTTATTCCACTTTAATTGCTTTGTCCTACCTACTTGAATAATCTTCAGTTAACTTGCAAACGTTGCTTATGCTAATTGTGGTTAGCTTCGTTAACTTTATCGCGTTTGGGGCATTTTTTGAATAACTTGTGTACATTTTGTACTTATCGCGGAGTCGTTGAGTACCAACTTACTTCATACGCTAATTTAGCGAAGAGTAATGTCGTCATATCCGTAAGCTATGTTAAATTATATTTGATAATGTTATTTCAACTGATTGGATGTTGCTAGATATCTCCGGCGTGGATGTGCTTCATGTGTATGTTGACAAGGTGTCTACCTGTCTATTACCCACTACCTCGTCCATACTGGCTCCAAGAGACAGTTGGTCGTTGCTGGAGGAGACGGGGTACACGGTCCTTGTGGCCGTGTTAGGGTCAAAAAGTGGTTCCATGTACTAAGTTTGGTGAACCACGGTCCAGCCACCGCCTTGTGTGCGCTTGATTCCTCAAATACAGTGTGCTTATGTTTGCCTGTGTAGGAGTGTGGGCCGGCTCCGTTGATGAAACGTGGCTCCCATCCACATGTCTCCCGGTCTTATTCCTTCGGGTTTACACTGGATATGGGGTGTGTGTATGGAGCTGTGGGTGGTGCGACGCAAGCCACCCATGGTCCCACTCTAGGCACAAGCGTCCTGTGGCTGTCCCCATGGAGGCCGCAGTGACAGGCAAATACGGAAACGGATGCCACCAAACATCTCAATTGCTTATTTGGACAATCTCGAGCTGTCAATCCCCAAAGTCAAAATGCGACTCGATATAGCTGATCTGTATCACGCATAAACACGAGGGCTAAGTATAAGACCAAAGCAAAATAAAAGTCACCATCAGTAGATGAAGAACCGCAGAACCTGGTAAGAAGCGGTAACCGGTGAAGACAGAGTAGAATTAAGTTGCGAGATGATGCATTGTGAACCAGAAGCAAAACCCCCATTTCACGCAGAAATATATGCTGGTAAGGGATCGACTTGAATTTAACACTAGTAAATTGAAAGACGGGTGACAAATATGTTTGTACGTCTTTCAGTGTATGGCGCGCTTGGGCTGGGTGATAAACAGCAGCTGCACCAAAAATGTCGAACACATGAAGGTCTACGAAACAGACAAAATAACAAGTAGTGCCGTCTAAAAGCAAATAAAACATTGTTGATGGCCCATATAGAGCGCTGAGAAGTTTAGCTAGCATTACACGAAGCCCAAAGGTGTACAAAATGATATGCCTATGGAGGTGGAGTGGTTTGTTCAGCTACAGAAAACTAGCAACCGAAGGTGGTCTGAGGGAAATAAGATTGATCGTCAACACATTAAAGAAAATGTTCGTGATTCCTCACACATTAGTGATGAGAAGGTTAGCTAGCAACAAGAAGATAACCAGACATCGACAAGGCGGCCACAAACCTGCATAAACTTGAGCTGGGCTCGTAGATCACCAGCTGGTAAGGACTTCGCTTGCGCCTCCAGCTGTTCTGCCTCTTCTTGAACCAAACCCAGCAGATCAGAGTGAGCAGTCAACAGCTCCGGAGCAACTTTTTCGTTCTGCCATAACTGACGTAGAAGAATAAAGACAAGAAAATTGCAAGAAAAAGAGCCCTGGAAGTAATGCGGAATGCGAAATAAAAACGGACTAAAACGTTCGATAGACGGTGGACAGCGCAGTTTGTAGATAATATATAATATCTATTAGAGGAGTGATTAGGCCCCAACGTGTTTCGGGAGTGATATTTCAATATAAAGTAGTCCTTGTAAGAGGAAAGCAAAAAAGGTAAAATGTGTGCTCCCCAAGTTAAGCAAAAAGAACACCGCTTCAAACATATGAAAAAGTTAAAAACAAGTACTAGACAATTCGTCGGCCCGTAGCATAAACGTAACGAGCTTGTTTAATCTGACGGCGCGAGTTCGAGCCTGCGTAGGGGCAGGGCGACCCATGCAGTATCCTTGGCCCACATGCTACTGGTGGTGGTTGCGCCGCAGCGAAACGTCGGTATTGCGTATCGGCAAACTGCTGATGTCCCTTACGAGACAATTCATGCAGTTCACTAATATTAAGTTTAAGAGGGGTTGTCTTTCGGATGCCATAACATGATCGACTGCATGCCTCAGGAGATGAGCACTGTAGTCCTGCGCCGTTCTGGAAACCCAAATGTAGATGACGTCAGGAGTGAATGCTTTCACAACAGTCAATATATATATATATATATATATATATATATGAAGAGTGAAAATCGATGATAGTCATCTTACCCTAAGTAGACAGGACCGTTGAGCAAGCAGTAATCGAGCATCGATGTAAGGTGGATTTAGTTGCCTCGAAGAAAGTCACTACGAGGATAACCGTGATCAATAATGGTGGAAAAAAGACGCAGGATGCATAATATGACGCAACTAAAAAGGTGCGATAAAAAACAGCGAACCAGATTAATTGATTGAGAGTTCATTGCAGCAGCTTCAAAATCAGAGTCTTCTGCATGTCCAGAAAAACACTAGGTGACTGTTTTGTCCTATCGTGACTCATCGACATCCACAAGATCTGAAACCAAAATCCCTAATGGCTTGAACCGATAGCAAACAGCTAAAGTCACGGGGCTGTGAGGGACAGCACATAGCACCCTGAGTTACAAGCAAATTGCAATATAGCGCTGGCTAGCTATGTAATCCGCTGGTGGCCATGAATTCGGATCATGATGGAGCCGATGGATGCGCACTAACGATGAGATACGGAAGATCGAAACGTCCGTCTAGCGTTCATCCGGAGATTTATCTGATTTGGAAGTTGTTGCGATGAACTCTCAATTAATTTCATCAGAAAATCCCCCACTTTTGAGTACATCAAATTAATTGAGCCGAAGTTTAACAGCTACATACTAGAAACCGAACACAGAGTGCCAATTGGTCGGCGACTGAGTCATGTTGAATAATATCCATGCACTTATGTGGCATGGCCCAAGGCACCCATCCACCAGGAGGGGAAGTATCAACCCGACCAAGTTTTTGAGTGGACTTCTTCATAAAGTTATACCACATCGTCAAATGGTCACGCTGTGGCTTCGTTCAACTAGGTGCCATGGCAAGATGTGGATACGGAATTCACGGACTAGTCAAAGCAAGCGACTCAAGTTTAGCAGACACTCCAGTGCAGCGTCGGAGGGTCTATTTCTAAACACTAACTGGTGGGCTTCCGAGTTGCTCACTCGGTTCCCCCACTAGATGTGAGCAATAGATCGCAAGTGACAGTGACCAAAGATGACCAGTGTTTGAATATTCTCAATTCCAAATGATTGCGCCGTCGATTCCCACAGCAACACTGGCTGTATCCAGGAACTGTACCCCACGGTATACGGGCTATGCTGATAAGTGTGCAATCTCACCAGTAACTTGGTCCCAGGGCTGAGACGATCACCTGGATAATAGAACTGATGCACTAGTTTGAGAAGCAGCTCGATGGCGAGTCAGCCTAACAGTGTACGATGCTCTAAACTTAAGCGGTGCGAAAGACATATCAAGGCGCTCAACTTTCCACAGCAGTTCACCCAGAGATCTGAGTCCGAACCAAGGAAAGCTATCGTCCAAATACCGTAGTAAAGCATTCGGTTTTCTGGTAAAACTACCACTTCAGAGGAAGCTAAAAAGGCAAAATACCATTTAGACTGACCAAGCATTGCCTTCAAGCCAATCAAATTGGTGCTCCGGATTTACGCTGGTCAAGCACTCAATCTCTCAGGTAACTGTACGTTTCATGTCAACGTGAAACCCAAGATAGTTGATCAATATTCGCTAGGTAATGTGTCATAGTGCGTAAACGCATTGCTTACAAAGTCGGCATATAGCCAGAAAGTTCAAGATGCTATCTTCTAGAAGAAACGACACTCGATAAGGCATGGGCAAAAATATTGACCATTCGGCAACAGGCAAACAGCCGCATCTCGCCTGTAATACACACCTGTCTAGTCTCCAGCACATTAGGAAAAATACCTTACCACAGGGATCGTAAAATGGGACATTTAATTCGCACTGCTGCATAAACAGAAATGGTAACAGAGCAAATAGATGGAATAGCCAGACAGATACATTTATACACAACTTCAATTAAATGGCGAAGTGGTGCTAGCTGCTGGTACCCTGAAGTCATGGGGGCGGAATCCGGCAGGGTTCCGCTGGGAGGCGCACCACTGACGAGACCCAGAAGGTCGAAACGCCGGCGTGTGGTGCTTTTCCAGATTAGCCTAAGCCTGCTGACTAGGAGTGGGCGATGATGAATTAGCTGAATTATACCAAAAATCCTCACTACTCATTAGTACTAGAATAAAAGAACCGGTATTTGTGTATGCGACAATATATAGCGCAGGATCCACGAACACTGCTGACGTGGACTTATACAAGGAACTGGCAGAGCTACGTAAAGGTGACATTTCGCGGACAATTTCTGAAGCATCGCAATTTCATAAGGAACATGCGTAAAATTCCGAGTTAGAAAAAAACTTGCATACACAGGCTTACGCCGTGCGCTTGAGTAAAAGATAAAGTGGCAATAGGTATTTACCCATGAACTTCGCACAGCTCGGCTACTGTGTGATTAAAGAGAGAAGTCATGGGTAGATGTGTGCACAAAGCATGGAAGGTCACTCACGGCCCCTAGATTCATCGGAAAACTGTCCACCAACGGTCTATCATTTTCGAACAGATGCAATTAAAATTCGTTCGATTCTGAATACTTGAGCATTTCTGATTGGCGGTGTCAACGGTCAAATAAAATGGCCAAAGGAATTCCTTTGAAAACTATCGAGATATCGGTCACAACCCAATTGTCTTCAGACCACGGACATGCGTCATACTTCGACAGATCAATGATCCTCGCGAAGAAGGAAACAGTGTCGGGTTGGCCTCTGTTCAGGTATAGCATGCGTATATCGCATTCTCCGTTTTCAACGGGCGGTTGAACAGCATTGTGCGTGAAAAGAGCCACCACGGTGATCTATCTCGACTTAAGAGCTACCTTTGATTCCGCTGACAGCACAAGCTTGCGATGATGCTTATCTCTGGAAGGAGTGCTCAAGAAAGTACCCTTTCGTAAAAGCTGCACATGACTGCAGTATCGATGCAAAAGGGCATCAATAGTACGCCGGTATGTAGTACCGACGTTTCGCTGGCGCGCAATTATCAACAGTCGCAGGTGGGTTAAGGATACTGCGAGGGTCGACTAGTCCCTACGTGGTCTCGAACCCGCGCCCCGGAGTAAAAGACAGGCTTGTGATTCTTGAGTCTACGGGGCGATTATCTATGCAAAGGATTACGGGAAATGCCCCGCTGAGTGCACCAGGAAAAGTGGAGTACATCGGGGTTGCCATATATCATCCCTGTACTCCAACTTCGCAGTGGAAACGATAAGATTTGATTTCGAAGGTTCTGACGGGCTAACAACTGTAGAATTTAGAGTACGTGGATCCTATTACTCTCCTTGGATCGATCTATCTGCTATGAAGGTGTTGATAAATATGTTGTGCACTCCTGCAAGCGCTTTGTGTCTTCAAAATGCAATGTACTATTACAGGACTACGTCAACACCCCATCAAAACTCACAATCATGGAACAGCCGTTCAAAATGGTCGATCAGCTTAAATGATTGCATAGCTGCACGAGCTTTGGTTCTAACAAATGTCCAAAGCCTTTGTCACTTACGGAGACAAGCGAATATGGTTAAGGTAAAGGCTTACGACGCTGGGGTTCAAACAACAATATTCAACGGATCAGAGAGTTAGCCGCCACGTATCGAGGGCATAAGGAAATTGAGTGTCTTTGATCAACAAAGCAGGCACCGTTTCATTCATGTACGATGGGAAAACCAAGTACGTAACACGATAGTTCGCCAGCTTTCGCGTCACTGGAGTTCCTGTAAATCTGAATTACATTCAGTGGTCCAGGTGTGTGCCGTGCATCATCAGTGTGTTGTTTCCCAATAAAGCACATAACTGGACAAACCCCGAGACGGTCAGCCAAAGACATGATAGGCGAGTACAAAGAAACTCGGCGAACAGCTGAGTTGGGCTGCTGTCTGTCATCTTCCCGATCTGCAGCAGCAGTAGGTAAAAATTCGACAGAATGTGTTCCAACCTCGAAGTCATTAACGTTGCAAGCGTTTCCCTATTTCTGGACCACAACCACTCAATACGATTTGCTACTTGCTAATTTTCGTAATAAAATGATCATTTTTATTACTATGAGAGTGAGTGCAAGGCAATCGGATCCACCGTAGCTAAACGTATGGATCAGAGTTGATAAACCGAACTGAACCGAACATAGACACTTAATCATGCGCCTTGAAACGGGTAAGGGGAGTGTGAAATGCTACCGATGACATTCTAGCCAGGGTGGAAAAATAACGGCAAGATTAGTTCATGGTTAAAGAAAATGTATGCCGAGCAGGAGCAGTGTGCGTATTTAAATGCCTTCGGAAAGTTAAACGAAGATCAGCTGAGACATGTCAATAGTGGCAAGGAGTTAATTAAATCTAGTTGACATGGCTCGCACAGGCCGTCAACATCCGCACAGTA